TAACGAACGCGACGCTTCCACCGATTTGGCCCCGGATTAAAATACTGCAAATCACCGGCTACCTGCGCTCGTTTCTTTTACCGTTCCCCCCTTCAGCCAACGGATGCGTTCTATACTGGATGAACCAGCGCGTAGAAACGAGCGGTGGATGAAATTTTCGCGAAGTTTGAATCTCGGCCGATCGATCGGTCGATTCCACGTGACGCGAGTGCCTCTGCGATTGCCAGAAGCGAAAGTACTCGCAAGGGGTGTGGACGAACGAAGGGAGGGAAGCTCGTAGAATCGCGAGCAAAGAATGAACTGAGCATCCGAGTCGGAGCTGAGAGAGGACCCGTATCGTTTTAACGTCTCTATTAGCGGCTATTAAAAATGAGCTAGAGATGAAAAAAAGCGGTGAAACGCGAGGGGCAGGACGAGGGAGGGGGAGGGGGACCGAAGGGACGAAACGGGGATCCCGGTCTCTCGAAATCGCGGGCCCTCTGTTCACATGCCGTGTCTACTCCTCGTACCGATATCCAGTTACCTTTTGTAGAGGCCTTCGCACAGCTCAGATTTTCGAACGATATGTTCTCCATTGTGCGCACCGGGTATTTAGCATGGCACGGGGTTGGTCCGAATCGAGAGGGTCCGTTCGCGGCTAGGCCAGGAGGAGGGGAACCGTCAGCACGAAAATACGAGCTACGCGTTTCGACACGGGGGTAGATTCTGTTAAAATGATATATCCCCCGTCGCTAGAGAGTCGAGAATAGATCCGATTCCGATATCAGGTTGAAATCGATCGTCCCTTTTCCTCCCGTCCCGAAGTGCCTCCGAGAGAATCGTAGAAACTGGTTCAGAGACGAACGGAAGGGAGGCTAGTCGGCGTTTAGCCTCTTTCCACGAGAGACCTTGCATCTTCTTCGTTCGGATCGTTTTCGCGCGTACGAGCATCATCGCGTCCGTTTAAAGAGGTCGGCGATGGCACGAAAACCGGGATCCTTTCACCGGCAGTTCCTCGATCGGCGATCGATCGGTCTCTGTCGCACGGCCGCGGCAGCAAGGACGACCATCTTGCGCGTAATTACGGTAGCTTCCGTCACGGTTCGAGACCACGTCGCCCGTCCGCGTGCATAATACTTTACGCAACGTACAGGGAGGGATTACGAAAAGTGACTCGTCATGCGGCGTAAATACTCGACGGCGGCCCGCGCGTATCCTCGTACGCGGCGACCGACGTTGCACCTGATACTTTCCACTTCGCAGAACGGCTCGACGAATTCGTTTTTTAATCGTGACCATCGGGCACCGCGCGCGGCGCCCAAAAAATTCACCGCGTCACCTGCGACGGGCTCGTTCTTTCGCCGTCACCGTTCGACGCGGTCCTCGATTCGCCACGCGAAAACAAGCCCGACGCGCGCGTGCACGAGCGGACACATGCCGCGAATACATTAACCGCGAGAGGCTGTACTACGGTCAGATAGAAAAAAAGAGGCCTGACTCGTCGCAAAATTTACTTTTTCCTCGTGAGCTCGTTGTTCGTTTCGCCGAAAGGTCGAACCAAAACACCGATACACCTCGTTAACCGCGGAGACGAGGTAACTGGAGTTCGAAACTGGAGTACCGCAGAGTCGAACGAACGTCCGGGTAGCGAGTAAAGAGTAGACACGAATCAACGCCAAGCCCAGGTATTCGCGGTGGAAAGATCGACGCCGCGGGCTCGAGCCTCCGCGCTTCAATAACGCCGAGACGTTTAGATTTGAATAGAGGCCGTGGACGATCGGGTGGACGAGCGCTAAGTGGAACAAAACGGGGAGAGGCTGGCGCGTATCCGCATAATAAGTCGCGGCCGCTCGTGCGGGTGTCTCGTGAAAGGACCGAGACAAAAGGGAAGCGGTCTCGGGGCATAATTAAAACGCGTCTCGCATCAACGGGACGCTCGACGCGACGAGAAAGAAAAGGAACCTGAGCGAGAGACGAACAGGAACGGAGAGAGGAAGCCGGGAGGGTACGGGTTCGATTACCGTGTCCGACGTGTTTCAAACGAGTCCACGCGAGAGTGGCCTCGAATTCTTTCCACCCTCGCGACGCCTTCGGAATCGAATAAATCGCTTCAATACCTTCGTCAAGGAGATCGACGTCTCGTTACCCGCTTACGTATTTCTACTTTTATGACGCGTACAGCCTGCGAGGGTAGTTCGCGAACGAAGTTCGCGGAGAATCGTGAATCGGCATGAAATTCGCGACTCGAGGTAGCATCCCTTTCGAACCTGTTCGAAATCGCTCGAGGTGTTACCGTGGTAACAGTGCGGGCTCGAAACTCGATTAGCAAAGAAAATACGAGAGTGAGTACCTTGGAAGCTTGGGCGTCGTCGAATCGATCTGGAGCGAAGAGGCTTTTAAGGCGACCGCAACGTCTCATTGTCTCCGACGGAGCAGCGAACGATTCTCCTTTCTCTCGATATCCGAGGGAGGCTTCGTTCTGGAACGAGAATAGAACATTCTTATGAGGTATTTTTCTTCTTGCGCGTTACGCGATTACGAGAGGGAAAAATTATTCCTAACGCCGGTTCGAGGTGTTTGCGATTTTCATCTGCCGATAAAAATTCCGTCGCATACGAGGAGGACGGAGGGAACGAGGACGATACGGATTTGCACGACGATCGCTCTCGGGTCAACGGGTTTTAAAGTCGGTCGTGGGTGGCGCGATGAATAATACTTTCCTGTCGACGAGTCGGGACATCCGTTCCGATCGCGGCGCGACCGTTCGTCGTTTATCTCCGGCCGCGGGTGATTCGCGTGAGAAATTCATGAGGCGTTTTCGGTATCTGTCCGTAATCTCTCGAGTAACGAGTCGGATCGTTCTTTTGTACGAGCCCGTGGCGCGGGAATCGTCGTTACTCTCCCGTGAATCCTCGCCTCACCTGGGAAGGCTGGGCCCGCTCGTTAATTATACCTACACGCTCTCCGTAGCGATGACTGGAAACAAAGCGTTTTCCGTGCCGCGATACCTGCTCGAGCCACCGTCCTACGACGGGAACGAATAGAAATTCTCATCGCGAGCAACGGTGCCCACGCGCGATTCTGCTAAACGACCCATCTTGTTGACCCATCGACGAGAGACGCATGCTAGAGTAACCGATCCCCGAAGAAACGATGAGAGACTCGAACACAGTCAATATCGCAATTCCTGTTCACGACACAGTTTCACTGACGTACTGGTCTATAATTTTAAGATGAATGACGACCAGTTTTAATATAATAAACTCGTCTAACCCTGGTACCTTTACCTTTAACACTTAGAATTATAGAAACGTAAGCCAGTGAGTGGAAATATGACTCAAAGGTATTCTCCGGCAGCTCATTGTGATTAACAGTCGTATCACCTGTTTTAATTATAATTAATTTGGAAGAGATCGAATTCTAATGATGCCCTATTCGTTTTCCATTTCAGAATGCAACAACAATCTGGTACAGGAAACGGGAATGCGCGTCGCACGCTGAGTCCGGGGCCAGGGGGTAGCGACTCGGAGGATTCTGATATATCTCTGGGTGGAACATCGCCACCGTCTCCAAGTTCTTCGCCACCACCGACTCACCAACCGTCTCCCGTTCCTCTCGGGGCCTTGGGTCCCCTGCCACCGCCCACGTTGAATTTCCGTTTCGATCCATCGCAATCGCAGTTTCGATTTAACCACGCGACGGCCTTCAAATTCCCGCCGGCCGCCTTCCGGTTTGCACCACACAGTCCGCAACACAATCATCCGAACATCTCGGGCGGTGGAATCTTCAGGCTGGCGGAAACGAGCCCGTTCCAAGCTGTAGGACCCAGGGGAGATCTTGGGTCACGGTGAGTACATCATGCTAAATCTGCTATTTTTTAATCACTCCTAATCCGATCACCGTTCGTTCTCAATTACGACGATTCGCGATTGCTTCTGATTCTTTGACGATCTGCTACTTGCATGCCTCGCATGAACCGTGCACATTTAAGGATGTATTGGGTATACAATTAATCCCAAAAGTTTATGTACCTTAGAAAAACGCATTTTCTATAATTAAAGAGAAATCAGACGTCGGAAGAACAATGCTAATAATAAATAGCTACGTGCTAAAAAGTATAGAAGGAAATATCCAATTAATTATTGACGATAGCGAAAAGTTTATTATACAGAAATTGTAGGCACTGATGTCCTCTACAAGAAAGATTCTATGTATTTTTCTTCTAACTTGAGTATTTAACGAGTTACGTATGATTATTTGGCATTTTATTGATGTTGACAAAATCCGACCAT